AGAAAATCGATGCCATCAACCACTCTCTTCTATTTGACTCTCGAAGCCGCTTGTTTCTCAATGTTTTTCATCTCTGGGTCACTTTCTCTCTTCCTTTGTCTGTCCCCATGCTCTTGTCTTTTCCCCTCACAGCTTTTTATGATGAGTGTTCTCTCTGGGAGCATCCGTGGCCCTCTTTATCTTTCTCTCTGTGGTCAGTCTTCATTTATTGTTTATTTTTATTTTTTTGAGATCAGTTAGTCTCGCTTCTGTCGCTCCAGCTGAGTTGCTTGGTGCTCGGATCTTCTATGATCACTGCAATAGTTCCCGCTCTCCGGGTTGTCCCGCCATTTCCTGCCTCAGCCTCTCGAGTAGCTGGGACTCAGGCGGCGCCATCTTTGCGGGCTAGTTTTTTTTGTATGTTTTTTAGTAGAGACGGCGGTTTCATCTTGTGTAGCAGGATGGTCCTCGATCTCCCGACCTCGTGATCCGCGTCCGGTCTTCGGCCTCCCAACTTGCAGAGAGGCTTGAGCCACCGCGCCCGGCTGGTCAGTCTTTAAATGATATCATGCAACCATATGAATTGAAATACTATGTATGAACTTGCTAATGACTCCCACAATTTTATCTCTACTCTTTACCTGAGCTTTAGACTCATGTAATCAATCACTTCCTCTCTAGCTCCAACTTATTATGCTATAGATACCTGATATTTTAATGTCTGATGTCGTTTGACTCTGTGTTGCCACCCAAATCTCATCTCAATTTGTAATCCCCACATATGGAGGGAGGGACCTGTAATTTCCATGTGTGGAGGGAGGGAGGTGATTGGATCATGGGGATGGTTTTCCCCATGCTGTTCTCGCGATAGTGAATGAGTTATCATAAGATCTAATGGTTTTATATGTATCTGACAGTTCCTCCTTCACACGCTCACTCTCTCCTGCCACTTTGTGAAGCAGGTGCCTGCTTTCCCTTTGCTTCCCACCATGATCGTGAGTTTCCTGAGGCTTCCCGAGCCACGTGGAATTGTGAGCAAATTAAACCTCTTTCCTTTATAAGTTACAGAGTTTCAAGGAAGTTCTTTATGGCAGTATAAAAACAGACTAATACAATGTCCAAACAGAACGTTTGATTTTCCTCCCTAAACCCACACCTTAATCCCCATTATCCCTGCAATAGTATTCAACATCCACCAAATATCTCAAGCCAGAAATGGAGGTGTCCTTGAATTGTTTTCCTTTCTCTTACTCTCCTCAAAACAATTTTTCTGCAAAATCAGTTTCTTTCTTCTTCAATATGTATATTCAATATTCTTTCTTGACTCTGTTTCCATTGTGAGATAGTTCATAGAGAAGGCTATTATTCCATGCCTAGGTTAGTGCAACGGGTTCCTCCTCATTCACCTCATTGTTCTTACTTCAGACCCCTTCAAACCATCCTCTACACAGCAGTGAAAATGAATCCCTTCTGAATGGAAGGCTTGCCTCTGTGAGAGGGAGCCACGAGGGAAGCAAACTTACTTATTTCTCTTCTTAAAATTGCAAGTATCCCTTTCACTCTATTGCTAAATTAATAGTAAATAAAAGAAAAACAATTCAGCTGTATGTGTAACTTCATCTCACCAATCTTAAAACATAGACCCACTTTGAAATGCATTGACATTGATTTACTTCCACAATTAGAATGCAAAATTCACAGTTTCAGGAAGCACTTTGTCTTTTCACTGTTTAATCCTCAGTGCCTAAACAGTTGTCAGTACACAATAGGTAATAAAATATGTGTGAAAGATAGAAGGAAAGAAGGAGAAAGAGAGACAAAGTTAGAAAAAGTGAGAGAAAAAAAAATGAGAGAGGTTAGTTGTTCTGAAAGACAGGTATATGTGGCTAGGCACGGTGTCTCATGCCTGTAATCCCAGGACTTTGGGAGGCCGATTTGGGTGGATCACAAGGTCAAGAGATAGAGACCATCCTGGTCAACACAGTGAAACCCTGTCTCTACTAAAAATAGAAAAACTAGCTGGGTGTGGTGGCATGTGCCTGTAGTCCCAGCAACTCGGGAGGCTGAGGCAGAGGAATAGCATGAACCCGGGAGGTGGAGGTTGCAATGAGCTGAGATCACGCCACTGCACTCTGACCTGGAGACTGAGTGAGACTCTCTTTCAGAAAAAAAAAAAAAAAAGAAAGTGTATACTTTGACTCAGTAATACCAACAGAGCAATCATTTAGAATAACCATTTATTTTAAATAAGTGACTAATGATAAATATGTGGTATTGTTCAAGATGTTCTTCTCATCAGCTTTCACATACTAAAAAAAAATGAAATTTCACAAAGACTTAAGTTACTACTAAAAGCTTATGAATTGAACTATGTTAGTTTCATAGGCATGCAGTAAAATCATGCCAGCAAAGCATATTTAAATAAAAGAACAAATGCTCCTATTATAAGTTTAAGTGAAAAAAGTCGAATTCGGACTAGTGGACATATTATATGCAATGTCAAATATGTTTTGCACTACATTGGACAAACTGTTGAAAATGGCATAGAAAATTTATCCTTAAACATTTAACATATGGAATTATAGAAATAATAATGGTTAAAGTTTTTCCTTATTTATATACTTTATGAGTTTTTAAAATTTTTATCACCATAATTTCTGTAAATATTATATTAATGTTTAATATTTTTATAAAATTTGTAAGTAGTACCAAAAGTAAAAAAATTTTGCCTTAGGGATAGGACATCTATAAAAGAATCTTGATGTTTATTAGAGTATGCTAAACAACTTAGTGTATGCTACTGTATCAGTGGTTATATTTCATATATTAACAAAATAGACAATTTCAAAAGTAGAATTAAAATTAACACACATATATTCATTCTTTCACATTTAATCCTTAATCTGTGAAATACAGGTAATAAATTCATTTGAGAAAAATAGATAATGCACACAGAGTCAGAGCCTCTATTAAAATACCTATCTATGAAGCCAGACATGGTGGCTCAA